CCTTAGATGATGTTTGCGGAATTGGCTTGCAAATATCCCATCAATCTTTCATAGCTTGCAAAATCTTCAATAAAATATCTAAAATCTAAATCTAAGGTATTTCGGTGAGTAAAAAACTAAAATTTTTGTTGATTTTTGCAGTTCTTTGTTTAAAGCTAGAACTGGTGTGTGCTAAGGAAACCTTTTCATTAGTGGATATTTCATGATTATGTATCTAAAATTAATGATTATCTATCAAAAGTTAATGCCATAGGAGTGAAAAGAAAACGGGTACACCAAAGGTGACTTGGATATTATAGAAGTGCAAGAGATTTGAATATTGTAGTGTTAACAGCCTTTTATGTATTTTTTTTTTAATTAATTATGAGTTTGCTCGTTCAGCTTTTCCTTAAAAATTTTACACTTCATGCAACTTTCAGAAGAAACAAACGAAGAATGTGGATGATAGTGTTTCATATTTAAATATGATCATATTATTGCATAAAACATGGAGCTAATGGAACAATCACTTTTAAAAGGCATGATTGTCTCTAAAATCTTGAGCAAAGAAGTACCAATGAATTTTAATCATCTCTTCTTCCAAGCAGACCGCAATCTCATAAAATAAGAATAAAAAAGATTAGTGATTATGAAAATGCTGCCATCAACATCTTATTTTATGTATTACCTATTCGACCTAGAAATTAATGGGTTTCTAAATTGTTGATAAGTTCAATTGGTCAGTCTGTATTGGCTGGGATTGGCAATTCAGCTCCATGTTTATGAATAACTCTAAGATCATGTTGAATTCTAGCTGAATTTAGTTCGTTGAAGAACAAATAAGGCCGCCAAGTATGGAAAGGATTCCAGAGCTTGTTTCACTTAATGTCTGAACACAGGTAGAACCCATCATTTAAGTTTTCAGTTTCTTTATTTATAGTTTAAATTATGTGCAAGAAAAATGCAAAATCAAAATTTTATCGAGACTGGAGAGGATTATTTAAATTAATATATTTTATGAAAACTAAAATTATAAATAATCTGAGAAACAAATCAGATAGGCTACATCAAATCAACATCAAAATCTATGGGTTTTGTGTTAGTTATGGAGGTATTTATAAAAAAGAATTATTAGAAGAATGAAAACGTCAGAAGATAAGAGTTTCGGATTTGTAAGTTGTAACAATAAGTATGGTAGACACTTTTAATGGATAGAGTTAAAAAAAAAGCAAATAAAAATGGGGATTGAGTGATATATAGGTATGCTAGTTTCAAATATCTTTGCTTCATTACATTAAATAATAGGGGTATTAGTTAGGATATAGTTTCTAGGTTTTTAATTGGATGTATAAAATGGAGACTGAATTGTGGGGGTTTTATGTGATAAGAGACTATCACATGAAGGAAATTTTCTAAGGGAATAATAATAGCTGGTATTTTGTGTGGGTTCAACAGTGGACCATTAAAAGAAATCAATGAATGCTAAGTTATGGCTTCTAGAAATGAGAAAGTTAATGCAAAAATATCTAAACTCTGGTAATTTTAGTCTTACATTTTTGTAATTAGAAGGATTTTGGGCATTGAATCTTTTTATTTGGGTTACAAATGACAATTTTTTTTTTTTGTGTTTTTTGAATTTATAATGCAGACCAAAAGTTGCTGATGACCTGAGTAGATTGAAATCAGATAAAAAAAGGTAAGACAAATGTAACTTGGCTAAAATGTTGCTTACCTTGGATAAATTAGAGTTGATAGCACTTGAAGCACTCAGGTTGAATGAATGGGGAAGATGAATTCATAGTAAAACAATGTGCTTGGACGTCCTGACACATTTCCTTTTAGGATAGCTTTGAAGTGATGACATATGATATTCACGTGTTTGTGAAAAATAATAATTTATGTTCTCCACTTTTGTGATGTCATGGTTTCATGAAAATATCTTCAAAGTTTAATATTCTTTCTATAATAATAATCTCTTGGGCGCAAATATTCAAAATTTAGGGCAAATGTTTTCAAAATTTAATATCTGGTATTCAAAATTATTACAAGTGTTTTCATTTTTCATATAAATTATGGGGTGGAGATGAATTATCCAAATATGCGGTTTGTATTTTTAAATGCCACATGTTATCATTTCAAAGCTGGTCTGACAAGAAACTGGTTACGATTACCCGCCAATTTTTTTCGTTTTCATAAAGCTGATCCTAAATAAATGGGTAAGGCAAATAATAATAATAATAATAATAATGATAATAATAATAATAATAATAATAATGATATATTGTCGATATCATATAAGAAGACTATATATAATGTTTTGGAAAACAAATTAAAAATGAGCATCTACCTGGTTTCAACCGTGTTAGTGCATGCTTACCATTTTTCTTTACCATGTTGTCATTTTCCATCTCCCAATTTCTATGATAGATCTTGTACTAGAACCAGAGTAAAAAAAAAAAAAAGAAAACAAAAGTGCTTAGGAGGTGTGTTTACAGCCTTACAGGTACATCTGCCATCCAGTTCTTAGATCTTTTCTTTCATTTTTAACTCAAAGGCTTAAAGTTCTCCTTGGTAAAGGCATCAAACTATTCAGCAGGTTCGTCCTCTTTCTCTTAGGATCTCTGGTGATGTCTGGATTGATACTTCTTGCATCCTTTCTCCTCACCTCTCCTCCCACAGTGAGCTCTCTTCTGCTCTAACAGTTTAACTTAAATGGAGCTTATCCTACTCTATTAAGCTCTCAAATCTCCCATTACATTTTGGCTAGTCACGTCTCACGTGTAGTCTGTGTCCGCCTCTCTTGTTTGTTGATTGATTGTCTATTTTCTTTTTTATGCTGGTTCTTGTAGTGTTTTGTTTTCAGCGCTAGTCACATGTATGCCAAGCTTCATAAGAATTCCTTGAGCATTTTCGTTCCTGAGCTTAACTCATTTGTCTTAGCATTTGAGTTAAAGCTAACCAAATGCGTATAATAAAATTTTTTTGAACTGATTACTGATACCAACCATTTGACTATTTTGTTTCTCTGAACGATGACTCATCTTTTGGGGTTTATTTTTTGGAGAAGAAAGATTGAGATATAAGCTGGAATCCCATGCATCTTATAAATATGATTATTTTTTTGCTGGAATAAGTTATGCAAGCTATGAATTTTATTGGTCATTTATGTGCATGGTTGTTTTTTTTTTTGGTTCTAAATCTGAAGTTCGTTTGATAATCACTTGAATTGTGATAAACTCAAAATTGGAATCAATTTGCTTCAACTCAAGATTTGCTTGCTTGAAATTAGTTTGATTAAACTTGATCAGCCAAATTGATGTAAAAATATATATTTGTGTGCTCGTCTTCACTCATATATATATACACACACACAATAAGTATACAATATGTGAATATATTTATATTTATACATAGATGCACGCTTATGTTCTATATACCTTTTAAAAAAACTAAGTACAAGTATATAAATTTACATTTATATTCATCTGCATAGAAATTTATAAAATTTTTTAAAATTAAAGAGACTTGAGCTTAAATTTAATTGAACCATGGAATCGATCCTGAAATTAAAACTTTATTTGTATTGAGGCTTGACTTACTCGAACAGTCAAACTCAACTTGATGATTCATTGATGATGATTTGGATTGAAGGAGCATTAATCTGTTATGCTTTCAATAAAATTAGAAGTTTTTAAGGTATTAGGTTTTGAATTATAGGCTTCCACCTTCGAAGATTATTGATGTAATGCAGATTTTGGTTTTTGGTTTTTTTAATGCAACTATGATGACTCAATTAATCCAGATCACTTTAAGAAAAAAAAAAAACATTTTCAGTAAAAGACCACTAAGCCCAAAAACTCAGTTTTATAGGTGCAGCCAATAAATGCAACAATTAAAATTCAAATAATTATAAAATAATTGATTGAATTCAAAGAAATCAATGAGATATTTGAACCATAAAATAATAAATAATTGAATTTTATTACCTCCATTGAAAGACCATTTGTATCAAATTTGAATAAAATCAAGAATTTCAACAATGCTATAACAAGGTATTTAGAATAATTTAGATAAAGGAAAGAGATCACCCAAATGAAGAAATCTTGGTTGCATGCCGGTACATAGATAATTTCGTTGGAATTAGTTGCACTTGGATGGTTGTACCGCATTCAAGGGAATTCAACATGTAGACGCCTGAACTAGAATAAATTTTTTATCGAATCTAAGTTCATCACTTTATATAAACCTCTTCTTTAGATTAGTAGATATGATTGATATAAAATCAAACTTAGTTACAAATAAAACTAAAGTTCAAATCCTGATAACTAAAGGTCATATCCAAAGTTCATGTTTAAAAATTTAAAGTTCACGTTAAAAGCTGGTGATTTCGATCTCCGCAGTCCGCTGGACTGGAATGCAAAACTAAAATCACTTTGAACAATATTTGCCTCTTATATGGATGGGGTCAACTATTGATGCTAGAAGACTCTCACATGCTACTCTATTGTAACACAAAAATTGCTTACTTCAACAAACCTCAAATGTCATGAAAGGGCAGAAAAACCACAATTTTTAGGAAACCTTGTAAGCCATGAAACTACATCTCTATGGAATCACAAGGCGTCAATTGGTAATTTTTAAAATTTTACATCACAAATGTGAACTTGAGAATGACCACAATTGAGATAACCTGAATTTATGCTAAGCCATACAAACCAATTTATTATTGGGAATCAGCCTCATAGAGAACACATCTTATAAACATTCATGATCAATATGTGCCCAAAGCATATAATTGAACAGTGCAAAATAAATAAATTTTTTTTGTTTGTAACTAAATATGATTATGCAATTCATCCCAATATTCGCCAATTAATATATATTTCTCGTTAAGTTTATATTTTATGCTAGCTGCCTTGTCATAATGACAGCATTACATTTTTTTTTCCATGGTTAGCTATGGCTGAAATATTGCATTTACAATAAACAGATAAAAAAGGTTTTTTTTTTCCCATGGTTAGCTATGGCAGGTAGGAGCCGTTTGCCTCGTCAGCAGGATTTGCCTCGTCACCATGAACTGCGTGGCTTTCATGATGGCCTCCAACCCCCACAAAGGCGACATGCTCCGATGCCTCTTCACCCAATCGAAGAGGAGATTGCAATACGGCGCGATGAGATACGTCGGCTTCGCGCTGATAATCATTTGCTTGTTGAAGAAAATGTTGCATTTAGGAGGGAAATAGCCGCTGCAAAAGAAGAACTCCATGCGCTTGGACAGTTGATACCCAAGATTCGTGCAGATAAAGAAGCTCAGGCTAGGGAACTGATTGAAAAGGGTTTAAAGCTGGAGAAGGAGCTCCGAGGCCTTGAGCCTCTCAGGGCTGAGCTTATACAGTTAAAATCAGAAGCTCAGAAGCTAGATGGTCTGCGTAAAGAGCTTTCAGGCGAAGTGCAGAACATGTCCAAGGAGCTTAAACACATTCAGGCTGAGAACCAGCAAATATCTACGCTGAGGCTGGATATTGATGGCCTGCACCAGGAGCTGGTCAGAGCCCGGACAGCTTATGAGTATGAGAAAAAAGCTAATGCAGACCAATTGGAGCAGAGACAAGTGCTAGATAAGAACCTTGCTTCCATGGCTAGAGAAGTGGAGAAGTTGAGGGCAGAGCATATAAGCCTGGAGAACAGAGCAAGGGGACCTGGTAGTAGTCTTCTTTTAGATCCCACTTTCTCATGGCAAATTATTAGGTCCGGTCACCTGACCTAATTTTTCGTTCGGATTCCATGCGCTTTTAGTGCGCTTTTGATGTATTTTTGAAAAAGAGCAGCTAATATACAATTTTAATTGCATTTAGCTGCTTTTTTGTTTAGTATTTGCAAAAATATAGCAAAAGCGCAACAAATATCTTACTCATTGAGTATTTGCTATTCTTTTGTTGTGCTTTTGCTGCTCTTTTCAAATACTCAATAAAAGAGCAGCTAATATGCAGCTAAAATTGTGTATTAGCTGCTCTTTTTTAAAAATACATCAAAAGCGCACTGAAAGTACATGGAATCCGGACGAAAAATTAGGTCCGGTGACCGGACCTAATAATATGCCCTTTCTCATAGCGAAATTTGTACAGTTTCTTATTGTAGATTCTTTCTCTGCCAGGTCCTGGAGCTTATGGCGATGGCTTTGGCAGCGACAAGGGACTCTATGATTCTGGTTCCTGGTTGTCTTATGAGCACCGCGGCTTTCCTCGCCATTGATTGTTTTGAACGTTTATTTGCTCCCTCCTTGTTCCAGTTAGTACTCTTTCTGAACTCTTCAAATGGTTTTTTATTGCGAACTATCTGAAACTTATATTTCTTAATGGAGTTTAGAGCATTGTAAGCTTATGAACATGAGATTCTTGGTTTGGCTTGAAAGTTTCCTACCTGTTTTGCTGAACTACTCAATGAAGAAGAGTTTCTATTATCCTTCACTATAATGCTGGAATATCCTTGAGCATTTTTTGGTGGTTTGTTGAAAGCTCTTTATTAGCTATATTCAGATTTTCTATGCAAGATTTTATAGCTTCAGATTTTCCTCAACTTTTTCTGTTTGGAGGTGTCTCTCAATTAAGCTGTTGCTTTGCTCCATCATTATATGCCATATTTATAAACATTGATTGATTATGATTTCAGTTTTTAAACAAAAAGGAGAATACAAATAGAGTGGTCCATTTCATTGATGCTGAAGCTTCTGAAAGCTAGCTGGAATGAGAAGTTCCTGTTTATGACTTTAGTACTATTTTTTAAAGTAATTTTTTAGAAAAATTTTGTACTAAAAGTAGTAAGAAAGCTGTCCACGAAGACTATGGTTTCGTTTGGGATAATTTTTTTCCTGCTGCTTGAAGTAGCTTTGAAGTATAAAAATTAAAATTTTTGTACTAAAAAATTGCTTTAAGTAATCGTCCAAAAGAAGCTCATATCTATATATGCGGAGTTGCGGACGGCTGGTGCCAGAGTGCAATCGACATTGGTTGAGAGAATGCTACCATCAGAAAAAATTAAGGAGAAACTAAAAATTCTTTTAATTTTTTTATTTGATTAATTAAAAATTAATTTTTATATTTTTTATCAGGGAAAGAATTGCCAATTATGAAGATAAATCCATACATATTTCTTCTCATTCTTATTAGCATTGAGTAGTGATTTGTTAATAAAAATGTATGTTGTTATATACTTCTATATAATTTTAATTATTTGTTAATTACATTTAAATAAAATTATCAAATAAAATATATTTATGTTCCATCTAATTCTTTCGAATAAGATGGATTTCATTAGGGATTATTTATTATTATTATTATTATTATTTGTTATTTTAAGAAAATTATATATTTTTAAGATCATTGTCCATTGCTTCTTAAAATAATTTGTAGTAAAATTTTTAAATTTTTTACTAAAAAGTCAATTTAAGAATCAAGAAAAAAGCCGTCTCAAATTAAGACTTCGATTGGGACGGCTTTTTTTCTGCTTCTTAAAGCAACTTCTTAGTACAAAAATTAAAAATTTTATACTAAAAAGTTGCTTTAAGAAACAATAAAAAAGTCGTCCAAAACGAAGCCTAAGCCTAAGAGGAAAGTGCTTTCTCCTAAGGCAGAGAGGTTTTGGGCGTGAATCCATCTAACTATACGATTAACTCATCCAGCATTAGAACTGGGAAGAAGGTAAAATAAATACACATTACTATATAAAAGTTCTCTTCTTGTAAAGCAAGAAGAGTCGCCATTCTAATAATTATCACATACATAAAAGGCTTAATCAACAAGCATTAATGTGATAAGATAAGCCATCTGCTTTATAGAAGCTTTAAAATGAATTGAAACAGGTTACAATTGTAGAATTAGATATGCCATTGAATAAGAAACTAAAGCTTTGTTTGCGATGGGTTTCTTACTGTTTTCTAAAGTAGCTTCATGGTACAAAAATTTATAGTCCAAGAAAAATTTTTTTATTAGAAAGCCGCTTTAGAAAGCAATAAGAAAGTTGTCCCAAACAAAGCCTAAGCCTACATCTCTAATTTTGTGCTGGGGGATTCATCACTGTCACTGCAGCTCTTGGTTTGGCCTGCTTGCCATGAATCGCTTTTGTTGCTGGAGATTGAGGCATCAGTGGAGGAGAACTTGCTCGACGTAGGAGCACCTTCAAGCACAGTGGAGCTATCTGGGTTTTTTCTCTCAGAAGAATAAGGTATCATGTTGCTTACTCTGCATGTAAGATGGAAAATATCAAAGATTATCATTTAAATTGTGTCATAATTCTAATCTAATGGATCTAATGAAGCCAAATCTATATAATCGATATTGTTAGAATTCATAGAATTTGAGAAGGGTGAAAATACATTCTACTTATTATATAAAATTATTCATATTTATAGATCTATACAAGATGTCTTAATAAATAAATAAATAACTTGTAATTGATACATAATTGCCTCAATATAATCCTTCCTAATTCAGCTACCCAAATATAGAAGGATATTGGGCGTGATCCAGGTGAGCCTCCCACGGATTCTCTTTTTGACCGTGGGATCAAATGCCAAGGGATGACTGAGATTTTGACAAATATAGAACAAAACCTTCTTTGATTTAACTCAAGCTGTCTCACATATTTCATCTTGATTTGTTGGTTGGAGGTTTATGCTACCAACTAAGAGGACTTGTGTTTGAGTTTTGTGTATGTGATGTGTGTGTGAGTCTGCCTTAATTGACCTAACTGTCCCAAAAAAAAACTTAAGCTGTCTCAACGCAGATGCATGCTGTATGGGTGAAATAAGAAAGAACTTCTCCTTGGAAAAAACTGTTTTTTTGGCAACGGGATAAATATTTTGACTCATATGACAGTTTTTGTGAAGTGTTGCAGAGATGAGGATGCTCAGGTGGATGAGTGGCTTTACCCTTAGAGATACAATACGAAATGAGCGTATACGTGAAAAGGTTGGAGTAGCTCCAGTGGAAGATAAGATTAGAGAGAGTCGCCTTGGATGGTTTGGTCACATAAAACGGCGGCCTTCCGATGACCAGGTTAGGAAAGTAGAGGAATTAGATTTGACTTATGTTAAGAAAGGTAGAGTCAAATCTAAAAAGACTTTGTTAGAAAATATTAGAAATAATATTTCTTTATTAGATTTAAACGAGAATTTGACTTTTAACATGACACAATGGAGAAAAAGGATTCATGTAGCCAACCCCATGTGGGGACAAAGGCTTGATGTTGTTGTTGTTGTTGTATATGACAGTTTTTATGAAACATCTTTTGAATTGAGTAAAAAATTTACATAAGAATCCATCATGGAAAAAGAAGACAGCAGTGTTGATTTCTACAATTTACCTCTCCTTCCGCTTCTGTAAAAATCGAGCCAGAGACGCCTTCCGAGCTTGCGGCACAGCTGAGTAGAAGAACCATAAGTTCTTAAACACTTACATAAGAAGAAAATATATCCAACCAAATATACACAAAAAAAGTTCCACTGGAAGAATGAATTATGAACCTCTTGGCATGATAGTGGCAGACGATGCTCCAATACATGTCTCAATAGTTCTACCGGGCTCATTCTTGCTGGTTAAAATCAGCTCTGCAATGCTCTTTGCTCCTATCTTATCGTCGGCGAGCCCAGCTTCAATTCCAGTCTTGATTTCAGAACATGAAAGTTGCAAATGATTAGCAGTATTGTTCAGAGTTTCTGTTGTTAAATTCAGGCCATATGCGTCTGATCTTGGATGTCCAGAACTTATAGAAGTTTTACACTCTCTACTTGCTGTAAGCATAATTGCTTGAGCCTAGTGAACAAACACAGCTAATATGATTGATATGTAATTGTAACCATACAATTCTATCCATAAAATCACAGTAAAGTCTAAGAGCAATACCATATGGGATGGAACATCATCATACACATTCACCGACCCGGCGTAGAATATAGTAAGCTGGGCATTTTTCGTCCGAGGCTTCTCCGCATTCCTGAAGGAAATATGCAAATTCATTTTATGAAGTGATAAACAAGAGATCCCCAAGCACTCTAATGCAGATAATAATCTACCTTGGTGTGAAGGCACCAACCACATTTTTTACTAAAGAGGCATCTGATGCAAAAGGTTGTTGCTTTACTGCTGTGGCTGTGGGATTGGTACCATTTGAAGAACCATGAGAGTTCAAGAAAGGACTAGTCATGGCAACGGGGATCGAAGAATGCGACATTGCTGTAAAGCTATCATAATTGAAGCTTTGAGTTGAAGCATGCATGGAAAATTGTGTGACTCCATGCCTTTCCATACCCATTTTTTTCTAAAATTGGTCAAAAAGATGAAGGAAAAAATCTACTTAGAGCTTAAAATCTGAATTACAAACACTTTACACATTTCAAATGAATCCAAGGATCATGGCCAAACCTCAGTAGCATTTACAGAACAAACTGTATTACTAGCCTTAAAAGCATCAACCGAAGCAGGTTCAACTAATAATTTTTTGCGTTTGTCTTCTCCTGAAGTCTCAAATGACAAAAAATTTTGCAGTGCAGAAGTCCTATTCAGAAAAGGCCAGTGAACAGCTGAACTAACTGAGAAGGCTGAAATCCAAAAGGAGAAAATCAAGAGTAAGATCAATAACCCCAGTCATCTATAAATAACCAGCAGAGCAACCTAGCAATAGATAGAAGCAGCAGGAAATCATCTAAGGGTGAAACAAAGTTATCTATTTTGTACAAAGAAAAACAAGGGAAATGTACTAAGGACTTCAGGTGAATATTAGTCTGTCCAAAAACCTGGAATTCAAACAAGAAGCATACTCTGTAATAGAATCAAAGCAATACAAAACAGTCATACATCCATGAGCATAAAGGATTAGCTAAAAGATAACTATAATAAACCAGGAGCTTTAACTAATACACTTTACTAATAACCTATACGAGCTGCAATTAAAGAGTATACAGGGCCAGCTAAAGAGAGACCAAGTTCTAAAAAATCACAAAAGCTAAAGCTTTAAAGCAGGAACATATATAGTACTGCAAGCAAGAGCCTGCAAATATCTTAAAACCAAAAGAAGAATTAAAGCAAGCAAAATGTTCCTTAAGAACAAACTTGAAGCAGAACACGAATCTATCAGAATTAAAGAAAAAACAGAGAAAAAGAGAAACTTAATAAAACAAAATACAATTTTTAACACAGAAGTGATGAAAAAGAGAAACTTTATAAAACAAAATACAATTTTTAACACAGAATAGATGAGAAGAGAAGGATTTGGTTCAAAGTTTCCTGAGATTTTTCATTTGAAAGACCAAACCTGAATCTAAGCGGCCACCAAGGTTCTCCTCCATCACAAAAGCCCTGGAATTTCGCCCACCTACTCCAAGAAAATCCCTCTCCATTGCAATAAGAACAGAGATTCTTTGAAGTAGAATCCGTTGCCCTCCTTTTCCTGGAATGCCCCTTACCCTTCTAATAAATTCTCTCTCTATGCGCTCTCTCTCAATTGAAACAGCATGAGCTAATTAGCTTGCTTTCCTCCACCATTCATACACTTTATATATTTTTTTCCTTTGAAAGAGACCGTTTAATTGGGAGGATTTTTTTTTTATTATTTAATTTCATCTCGGCTCGGGCTATTGCGGGCCAGGCGAGCACATGGGTGGGAGGTGACTGGCCGGAGCCGGTCATCTCCCACGTGCGCCGACTATCATTTAACGGGCCCATTTCTCCTCCCAACACGTGCCGCCATGCAGTGGTGGGGACGTAGAAAATATAACACGAGGCATGCAGTACACTTTTATTATTAAAATAAAGAACACTAAATCTAATTAATTAAAACTATGGCATAATAATTACATAAATAAATAACTACTTAATAAATAAAAAATAATAAAAATAAATTAATTATTAAAGTCTTCTTAAGTTGTTTCTTTCAAAATTAAATTTTTATTAGATATTGAATATTATATAGATATTACTGTATATTAAATTTTATGATATTGTTTGATACTTTGATGTATATGCTATGTATTTATTTATTTATTTATTTATTATTTTTTAAACAAGTTTGCTGTCATCTTGATATGTGTGGGATAAATGCCGACCTATTTTATTATTATAATTATTGGTTAGGATTTAGGAGGATGTTTTATGATATCTTGGGTACTTTGTAGTCAGTAGTTATCGAAGATCATCAATCTCTTCAAGATTTTTTTTAATATATAGTAAATTAAAAAAAATTACTATAATATGAGGAAGAAAAAAAATATTTTGTTAAATTTGATAATATATATTCTAATAATTTTCTTAAGAAATATGATGCGGGTTTTGTTTGGGACGATTTTCTTACTGTTTTTTAAAGTGACTTTTTAGTTTTAAAAAATAAATTTTTATTAAAAAATTGCTTTAAAAAATAATAGAAAAATCATCCCAAACGAAACCTCAATCTAACAACTATATATACCAATTCTTATTATTGATTTTGACATATAACTTATTTGTTAATAACTCTTGCTATGAAAATCACAAAAATAATAGTAATTTTGAGTGTCTTTTTTTTTTCTTGATAATAAATCATTAAATAAATTAAAAAAAAGCTTAAATATAAAATTTTTTTATAAATTAATATGAAATTTAATAAATTTATAGTTTTAAAAGAAAATGTGGAAAATGTATGTCACACTTGTGATAATAAAAATCAAATATATAAGAAAAAAATAACAATAATCTCTTTTTTTGGGACATTAATTTAGGCCAATTAAAGCAAACTCACACACTCATCGCATATACAAGATTCAAACACAATACCTCTTAGTAAGTAGCTTAAGCGCCCAACTAATAGATCAAAGTGAGCTGTGTACAATATAATCTCTTTAAATTAAAATATCGCTTTTATAAAAATAATTTCATATGAGTTTGTTAGGTCCATAACACTTGAGTTCCTATTATATTTTTATGGCATAATTTTGAGTTTTGTTTTGTTTTTTTTTTTCTAGCCTTCAATATTAAGAAATTAGATAAAGGAAAACGTCTCATACATAATTAAAATATTTTATAATATCTCATAAAAAATAAAGTATTATAATTCGTAGATGAGATACTTCTCTTTGTTTTGAAGTTCTTTAATCTCAAAAAAAAAAAAGAAAAGAAAAAAAAAAAAAGAAGAGAACTTATAAAATTGATATAATTAAGCTTGAATTTTCACACGATTTTTTGGTTAAGAAAATCAATTTATTATGCCAAGAGTTTCAAAAATAAATTTAGGGGCGATTTGATTTGAAGTAATATGAATGCAAAGTATTTTAAATGCAGGAGTTTTAAGAATATTAGTGTTTATTGGAGTAAAAGAAATACAACATAAAATTCTAGTATATTTGAAATACATGTAAAATTAGGGGTGTCAAAATGGGTTTTTGGATCGGGTTCGGGTCCAACCCGAAACTTACATGCCCTTGACTGCTCCAACCCGATTACATAAATGGGTAAGAAATATGAAACCTGACCCAACCTACCCCAAATCCTGGTCAACTTGACCCGACACAAGGATCCAGGAGAGCCCATAGCAAGCGAAGTCGAGCACAGAGCACGTATGCGAGCGATCATGGCGGGGCGGTCACGTGGTGCAGGCGAGAGCAGGATGCAATCATGCTGTGTAGGAGGGAGTGGAACATGGTGTAGACAGCAAGTGGGATGTGGTGTCAGACCGTGCGACTGCGTATGTATATGGTGTGAGCTGGGACGCAAAGTCATTTCTGGGTTAGTTGGTTGATTTGGACCTGACCAAATTTTTCAAATGGGTTGGGAATTAGAACTCAAACTTGACCTATTTGTTAAATGGGTCGACTCGAAATCAAATTTTTTAGGCCGGATTTGGATCTGATTTTTCGGGTCGTGTCATATATTGACACCCCTACGTAAAATTAGTGTATTTGGAAATCGATATATTTGAGCGATTTTTAAGTACATCATAATTTCATTGTCATTATCGCTTTAAGCTGCCACTTGCCCCCACTGCCACTCTCCTCCACTATTGACAGTTTCTGGTGATAACTAGCCCCTGCCATTTCTTGTCCCTACCACCCACTATCGCCAGCCATCTGGCCCACCACAGGCCGCTATGTACCCCTGTTGGTCGATGCTGCCGCTCCCAACGACCACCACAGACCACTTAGCCCGCCTTCTGCTATTACTGCCGATCGATACCACCGACCTATAGGTAATTGCCGCTTGCCACTAACCACCATCATCTTTGAGCTTTAGATGATATTTATTTTATTCAGCAAAGAAAAAACCGCATATATTTATTTTATACTCATCCAAAGAACTTTCAAAACATTTCAAATATATTGTATTTTTTTTAGCCAACGAAATGATCACTTTGAGATCATACGAATCCAAGTTCATTTTGCCACTGAAATACCCCCCATAAAAAAAATCTAAATAGGCCTCTCATCATCTCCTCCCGGCCCGCACCATTCTCCATCTTTTTTAACTCTTCTATAGTTTCCGAATACAACAAGATAAAATACTGTGAGTAATACTTGGTTTGATTATTTGTAGCTTTAAAATTGATATTTGATTTTGACCTATCGTATTTATATTTGATTTTGACTCAAATGTTCTGAATTCAAAAGTGATTATATCCAGGCAAAAATTCTAATGTTCTGAATTCAAAAGTGATTATATCGAGCAAAAATTCTAGGTAATTATAATGTATAAATATTTATTGAATATTTTAGCATAAAGTAGTAATTTGAAAATATAATTGACATAAAATATGAAGAAAATGACTCTTGATTTTCTCTAAATTTTTGCAAATAAAATTTAAATACTTTTCAAGATATAAAAATGATTGTCATTGCATTTATGTATCATAAATTAATGCATTCTAATTGCTGCAAGCAAAGGGTGATAATGTGATTTCATGTCGTATGAATTCAATGGTTTTAAGAACTTGGTCATTTTAAGCTTATGTTCATCACATGAGTGTATACTCGTCAATTCATCTCATGCAGTTTTGATATTCTACTCGAATAATGATGATACATCAAGGATGTTCTTGCTCACACTTAACCTTCATTTGGGGTAGCTTTACATCACTATTTTTTTCTTACTTTCAAGTGTTTTTTACACTAAAAAAATTTTTATAAAACAATAAGAAAGCCGTCTCAAGTGAAATATTACATGACTAACTCAAAGCTGGTCCTCACATCATTTGTTACTAGTTTTAACCTAGCACTCCACTATGGCTTTGCTATCATAGATCCACATAACTACAAAGCTACATGGTTCGACATAGAATTTATTATAGACAAACTATCTAACACTTTGTTTGAGATAGCTTTCGTTCTGCTATTTAAAATGACTTTCTAGTACCAAAATTTTAAATTCAAGAAATTTTTGTACTAGAAAGCTGTCTTAGAAAGCAAGAAGAAAGCTGTCTCAAACGGAGCCTAAGTCCATTCTCCAACCAACCACTGATCATCAGATTTCTATGAAGCATATTTTTCGTCATCTATTTGTTATGTCCCACCATTGCATTCTTTTATTGTATAATTCTCTACTATCTTTATACATGCTTCTTGGGATGCCAATCATGTTGGTAATATTGACAAACACTCCTACACCAGTGCACAGATCCTCTAATTGAGTTGCAATCCTTTCCAAAAGCCAAAACATTATTGTTGATCATTAAAACATGCAGAATAAAGATCTAAATCTATCAAACTCAATTGGGTATGCTCTAGCTTCATCAAACTTAGAATTCATTTGGGACAACTTTCTTACTGCTTCTTAAAGCATTTTTTTAGCAAAAAATTAAAAAACTTATACTAAAAAAATATTTTAAAAAGCGATAAGAAAGCTATCCCAAACACAATCTTAAAATTAGCATGCCCGTTCATTTTATACCAATACCAATACAATTTAATTAGCATACCAATTCACAAACTTACCTATATAAATTTTTTATTCATTTTTATGAAATTAACAATGACTTTATTTTATACCAAATAAAATATAACTAAAATAAAAAGAAAAAAACATCATTAATTACATGCCAAAGCAAAGACAGAGGTGACATTCTCACTGTGAAGACATTTTTTTTCTAAGTTAAATTCTCCTCTATGCATACATTGCATAAGTTGAAGCATCAAAATCAGAAAAAAAGATTGGATGAAAAGGCTCGTTTTAGTACAAATATTGTCCAATTAATATAGTCCTAATTATGATGATAAGGATCTTTTTGTCAAACGTGTTAGCATGTTTCTTAAGTTATAATTAAATCAGTAATTAATGCAAAACCCTAACCGATTGGATCTAAGTTATGTGCATGCATATTCCAAAACACAAAGTCGACATAATGTTAACTTTTTTAAAATCACTTTAAACTGAAGCACCAAATAGAAATTAATAATAAGTAGTAACTTGATTGATGTCGATATGACAGTTTTCTTATTATTTTGCTTTTCAAAATGCAATTATAATTTTATTTGGCCACTGCTTTTTCATTGAT